GGGTGTGGGTCGTCTGTGGGTGTGTGACTGTGCCGTGGGTGGGTGTGGGTCGTCTGTGGGTGTGTGACTGTGTCGTGGGAGGGTGTGGGTCGTCTGTGGGTGTGTGACCATGCCGTGGGAGGGTGTGGGTCGTCTGTGGGGCTCCTCTCTGTGCTCAGTGTGCTCTGTCCTGGCCCAGGGCTCCTGACGGCGACAGTGGCGTCCCGTATCCACCGCGCGGCCCAGCCTGCCCTGCTGTACCTCGTCCCCTTCACCCTCCTGCCCCTGCTCACCATGGCCTACCTGAAGGTGAGACACCGCCGAGGGGGTGTGTGTGGGGAGGTCAGGCACTGCTGTGGGGGTTCAGACGCCGACGGGGGTCTGTGTGAAATGCGCTCCAGCTAAGTGTCGCTCTGCCCACAGGGAGACCTGCGGCGCATGTGGTCCGAGCCCTTCCACTCCAAGGCCAGCAGCTCGCGCTTCCTGGAGGTATGATCCCCGCGGCCACGGGGGCGCCAGGCTCCTCTCCGGTCTCGGCGGGGCGCGAGCAAGGGAACGAGGAAAGGAAGAGGCAGCAGGCAAATCCTTCTCTCCTTCTCGCTCGCTCTCTCGCTCTCTGTACGATTCCATTCCTTTGCGTTTTGTTTTACGTTTCGGAGCATTTCAGACTTGAGCCCAGCACCCCGCGCCCCTCTGTCCGTGTCTCCGGCCCCTTTCATTTCCACGCAAACCGGCTAGATCAGCGGGACAACATGGCGGCGCACAGGACTGCGGCTGAGGAGGCTGGAGAGACTGGAGACCTGCGGCACCGCAGAGACATCAGAGCATCAGTGCGGCACCGCAGAGACAACAGAGCAACATTACAGCACAGACACAGAATGGGACCAGCACACCCCTGTGGCCACAGTGCACTGCAGACTTTTACTTCTGAACATCGGCTTTCCCACCGTCGGTGGGACTCTGCTCCCTCCTGCAGGTGTGCTCGTCATCATCACAGCGGGCGAGACGTTGCTCTTGGCGGTGGTGTGGCCTGCGATGACTCTACAGGGCTGTGGAAGCAGTGACTACTGTCTGCAGTCAGAGCTGCAGTTCTGTTTTTAGGGTGCTGGGTTTCTTTTACTCTTGAAACTGTGGAGCAAATTGAATGTGTTGCAAAGCAAACCGGACAGATTGTGGACCAGACCATGCAAAGTAGTGGGCGTGTGTGCTTGCTGCGGGGGCGTCTGAGCGCGTGTGCATGTGTGTGTGTGCTGGGGGGTGTGTGTGTCCGTGTGCTGGAGGGTGTAGACAGGCCATGGAGGGGGTTGGGTTTGAGTGCTTGGCCAGTGCTGGTTTTACTGTAGTTTCTGCGGCCAGCTGTTCAGTTTTTCAGACTGCGTCTCGGCAGCTGCCGTGTGTTCGTTCTGTGGGGTCCCACCGCAACGCCCCCTCACCCCCAAATCCAAGGTCCCAGGACTGGCTGAGCAGCAGGATGAGTGGAGGGGAGGGTGTGGATACAGGAGTCGGGATGGACACATTTCGGACTCTTGCCCGTTTCTCCCAGTGATTTCCGGAGGTTGGCTGAGCGGACTGCAGTTTTGCACCAGTGACTTCTGACCCCTGCAGCCACTGGCGCCCTGACGCATCAGAGACTTGAGCAGCAGCCCCCCCTCCCCATCGCCTCTGGTATCATTCTGGACTATAATTACGACAATAATAATAATGATTTAAAAATGTGGATTTTCCTTATTTTTATGGAAGAGTGCTTTCTTTTTATCCCATTAATTGTATGGTTTCTTTTTTGTGTGGTAGAGTAGTTTCCATTTTATACTTCTCTGTTCTTCGCTCCTCTCTGCTTGCTCTGGCGGAGGGGAACCGCGCTGTGCACACGGTGCCAGCCAGATCAACACGTTCTGTATTAAATAAACCATTGTGTAGTGATAAGAGGGTCCTGACAACTGAACTTAAAAAGAAATGTTTCATCTCCTTAACCTCCTGGAGTCGGGACTCCTTTGTAAATAAAAGTGAACTCTAACTGTACTACTGTTGCCTCTGACGTTTCTGTCGCTTCTCCTCAAGGGGTTCCCTGAGGGTCAGAGGTCATGGTAGACCCATGGTAGTTCCTTCACTGGAATTCAATGCTAACTGAATTAGAAATGTAAGCATTTAAAGTCTTTGTGTCTTAATTTTCGAAGTCCAATTAGCAAAAAGCACAGTGATAAAGCTGAAAAAATACAAAATCTTTTAATGATTTCATTTCTCTTTTATAAGGTACAAACCCTTAAACACACTGACAGTGTAGCACTATGGCCGGGGAGGGGGGCTATGGGCCCATTTAACCCAGAGACCAGTCCTGCTGGGCACTGGCGCACTGGGTAGCCTCAGCAATCATGGAGCTGGACCAACAGATTGACTAGTGTGCGGCCCGTGTGTGGGGTTCTGGAGAGAGGCCCAGCCCAGTTTCCAGCTGTCGCGCGTGTCCCTCGGTAGGAGCTCACGGCTGAACAGACTGTTGTGTTCCTGCCAGAGTGGCAGCTGAGCTGTTTCCACACTGCTCACTCACTTAAGCTCCTCCATTACTACATCTTGATTTTTGAATTAGTTTCTCCTGTATACTCATTTCGCTCATTTATACCTCCCCCTGTTCTCTCATTGCTGCGCCTCCTGTTGAAATGGTGTTTCTCTCCTACGAACTGTGTCCAGATCCTGCAAGACAGTCTGTCACCTCAGGGAGCCACACACATCCTCCCCCTACAGCCCTTTAATTGCCAGAGCGGGCAGGTGACCAGGGGATGCTGGAACAGTCCAGGAGCCTGTGAAAGCCTTGATCACCACCTAGTGGCAGCAGCTGGGAAGTACAGCCAGTGACCAAATGTAAAAACCACTAATGAAATGTAAAATCTCAGTGGCACTTTGTGTTTGAATCACAGAAATTACATCATTTTTTACGGTCTTATTTTAGTGCAGATTGGCTTGATTGACCAAAAATAATCGTGCTGGCACGGTGCTGTGGCGTTAAGCTGAGGCACTTGAACTCGATCCCCCTGTGCCTTCTCCCTCCCAGGCTGCTCTGTTCAGGCCTGGTACTCCTTGAGCACTTGGTTTGCAATGACAAGCCTCTGGATCTCACTGGTTCCCTCATAGATCTCCGTGATCCGGGCATCCCGGTAGTGTCTCTCCGCGGGCATGTCCGTTACGTATCCCATCCCGCCTAAAACCTGGATCGCCTGCATGACGGGGAACCAAGGAAAACACAGGGGATTGGTCAGGCAGGGAACTGTAAAGACAAACGGAGGCACAGATACAGGAAGACGGGCAGCAGGGCTGACTAGCAGGACTCTCCTGTGTGCTATGAAATACAACAGACACAACCACAGCCAAGGTGAGGAGAAATAAAGCAAGCAGTTCTCCAAAGAGTCAGTTTGATTTTGTTCTGCTGTTTGTTCACACCTGAACTGTGTCACTACTACTGCTGCTGACCATGACCATGAACAGACTGAGCTTCGCCTCACCCAGACTGAAGGACAGAGCCGGGAAAAATGAAACTGCGGGATGCAGTGAAAACAGCCTAAATAAGATGGAGAGAAAGAAGAGAGAGAAAGTGAGAAGACGCGTCTCCCTCACCTGGTGCGAGATGAAGGTCGCAGCCTCGGATGCAGCCAGCTTTGCCATCGCTGCTTCCTGCAAGAAACAGATGTTGCTGGTGTTAGTGTACCCTTAGGCTTGCAGTGCTTTGTAGAAGTGGCCAGTGTTCTTGGCAGTAAGCGAGGGCTAGTATCTGTATTGGTGGTAGCAGTGGGATTACCTTAGTGAATGGCTTCCCTGAGTCTCTCAGCATGGCGGCTCTCCAGGTCAGCAAGCGAGCACTCTCCAAAGCTACAGCCATGTCTGCCAGCTTGAACTAATAGAGGAGGAGGGGGAAAAAGATAAAAAGGAGCTCACGACACCACAGTTCCTCTGAGATTCGATCACGTGGCTGTCTCAGTACCTGTATGGCCTGCAGTTTCGCGATGGGTGCCCCGAACGCTGTTCTCTTGTGGGCATAGTCTGCAGCGCAGTCCAGAGCGGCCTGGCCAATGCCCAGAGCCTGAGCCGCGATGCCAATGCGGCCGCTGTCCAGAGTTTGCTAGGAGAGATGGGAGGGATTAGGATGAACATTTCTAACATAGCCTTGCGTCACGTGTGGCACTGCGCCTCCCTAACCTGGACCCAAACCCCACTCACAGCGCTGACCTCGCACACTACAGCCAGCCCTCGCGCCCAGCAGTTACCATGGCGATTTTGAAGCCCATGCCCGGCTGTCCCAGCAGGTTTTCCAACGGGAGGCGGCACTCCTCCAGGATGAGGTTGGCTGTGGAAGAGGCTCGGATTCCCAGCTTGTCCTCCTTCTTCCCCAGGGACACGCCAGGATGGGGCATCGGCACGAGGAATGCACTAATACCCTGAGGGGGACAGAGATGAGGAGCAGAATTCTTGTCACGGGCAAGAATTGTGACGCGATATGGCCCTTCCTGCTCACTAGTCAATGTGATGTAATGTGATTTAGGGCGGATAAGTACAGGTTGACAGCAGACATTTCATCTCAGAAATCTTCCAGCTGCAGGCAGAGTTAACAAATAAGTAATATTTGTCTGCAAAACCATCTCAAAATCAAGAGCAATATTTCTATTGGATTAAAAGAGATGTGTTCACAAGCCTGCTTGTTTACAGTGTTACCTGAAGTTCTGTTGCCTCGTTCTGAATCGCAGAATTTGGAGCTGAGGTTACCTGGAAATCCCGTCAATTTTGTGATCTAAACTGGAGGTTTTAAAAATGACTGTGTATGTTTTACTTTTATTGTGGTTTGAAATGCAATTGTTGAAATTGATTCTTTCAACCCTGCACTATATGAAGAGCGCTGCAGTTCCCCTTTAACAGTGAGTGAGTAGTTCCTGAAGGACCAGGCAGGACACCTTGTGTTTGAGGCTCTTGTCTGTCGTGGCAAACACCACAGCAGCCGAAGCATCCCAGCAGTTCGTGATCCAGGCCTTGGTGCCGCTCAGCACCCACTGACCCCCCTCCTTCCTGGCCACCGTTGTCGCGGCACCTGCATCACTACCGTTACCTAGGAAACAGGACAAGAAGAAGAACGAAAGCACGTTCCCATTAGAATACTGTCAGCGCCCCCTAGTGTTGCACTTCACCATGCAGTGCTGTGCCGCTCACTGTGGACTGCGCGGTGTGCTCGGCACCCCTGCCTGTTTCCCTGCTGTACCTGGCTCGCTCAGAGCAAAGCAGCCCACTCGCTCCCCACTGGTGAAGGGAGTGACCCACTGCTGCTTCTGCTCTTCTGAGCCGAACTTCAGAATCGGACCCAGGTACAGCGACTGAGAGTGCAAGAGAAGAGGAGAGAGGGGTACCTTTCAGATGCGGGGTGCTTCACAAGCACTGTGATCTTTAACAGTTTAACAATTTTACAGTTACAAGAGATAACAGAGGCAGGTGGAGGGACGATCAGACAGAAGAAAAAAAGACTGATTCCCAAGACAAGAGGGAGGGAGGGACAGAGGCAGACTGACATTGTTGACGCTGACGATGACCCCCGTGGACGCGCAGCCCCGGCTGATCTCCTCCACCGCGAGGGCGTAGGCCAGGTAATCCAGCCCTGCACCTCCTAGGTGTTCGGGGGCCTCCACTGCCATGAGCCCCAGAGCCCCCAGCTTCTTCACCTGGGAGAGGGCAGGGGCAGGTTAGCAGAGTCTCCCTCAGCCGGCAGACGCTCGGGACGCGGACGCACGGGTACCTGCCCGGCCGGGAAGCGGTGCTCGCGGTCCAGCTGGGCGGCCAGGGGTGCCAGCTCGCGATCAGCGAAGTCCCGGCACGTCTGACGCAGCATGGCATGAGTCTCCGGCAGCTCGGCCAGCTGTGACAACAGCCGAACACCCCCCCTCCGGCAGGACAGGACAGCTGGGGGAGGGAGGGACAGAGGAGTGAGAGAAGAGAGGCCACTGCTGTCAGACCTGGGCACTGGCAGCTCGTCTGGACCCAGAACAGGGGCACAGCAGAGCCTGGCACTGCTGGAGCAGTACTGTCAGACCTGGGCACTGACAGTCAATCTGGACAAGACCAGAGTTGTGGTTTTCCAGAAGAAAGCCAGACCTCAGGGAAACAGGTACAAATTCACACTGAACAACAACACATTGGAGCACACATCCAGCTACACATATCTCGGTCTCACCATCAGCTCTTCCGGGAGTTTTGACCTGGCAGTGAAGGCACTGAGAGAGAAGGCACTCAGGGCTTTCTACGCAATAAGAAGGAGGCTCTTCAACATCAACCCACCAACAAGAATCTGGCTCCAAATATTTGAAAGTGTAATCCAACCCATTGCCCTATATGGCAGTGAAGTGTGGGGTCCCCTGACAGACCAGGATTACACTCAATGGGACAAACACCCCACAGAAACTCTGCACATGGAGATCTGTAGAATCATCCTCCGTGTGCAGAGAAAAACTCCTAACAACGGGTGCAGGGCCGAATTAGGCCATTACCCACTATTGATAAACATACAGAAAAAAGTATTAAAGTATTGGCTACACCTAAAAAACAGTGACCAGCATTCCTACCACCACAAAGCCCTGCTGAGCCAAGAGCTGAGCCCAAAACAGAGCCCCCTGAGCCAGCTGGTCCTGAGGCTCACCGACCTGAGCCACACCGACACCAACCAGCCTCAGGACAGCACTGCTAGAGCACCACAACCCAGACTCACCACATCACAGCACAGATCAAACAGCAATATCTCACACACTGGAACACACACACAACATAAACTGGAATGCTACAGAACCCTAAACAGGCAATACACACTAGCCGAATATTTGATCAAGATATGAAACAGCAAAAAGAAACAGACCCCGACGAAGTACAGGTTCAGTGACCACAGCCTGGCCATAGAAACTGGGCGACACAGGCAGACCTGGCTGCCCAGAGAGGACAGGCTGTGCTCCCACTGCCAGCGGGGAGAAATAGAGACAGAGGTGCACTTCCTACTGCACTGTGACAGATACTCTGGGATTAGAGAAACATTCTTCCCTAAAATAACAAATCTAATCCCAGATTTTCCACACCTGCCAGAATTGGAACAGCTCCCAATCCTACTGGGAGAAGGAGGAGGGAATTCAGCTGAACTGGCAGCCAAGTGTGTGATCTCCTGTCACAGCCTGAGGAACGGTGGGTCTGTCTCTAAATAATAATAATAATAATAATACAGTGTGTGATCTCCTGTCCCAGCCTGAGGAACAGACAGGGAGCCTGTCTCTCAATAATAATAATAATAATAATAATAATAATAATAATAATAATAATAATAATCATCATCATCATCATCATCAGTGTATGACCTCCTGTCCCAGCCTGAGGAACAGCGACTATTCAAACAATTATCTGCCTCATATGGCGTCTGCAAATGTTTAATTATATCTTTGAACTATAAATGTCTATAAACATTTGGTTAATTGTTGACACTTTGGCAAAACTGTAATTCATCAGTCATGCCAGTAAAGATATTTGATTTTGACTGGACTGGACTGAAGCGAGTGACAGAGGAGAGGAGAGAATGACAAAGACGAATAAATGCTACATACAGTACTTGTTCAATTTTAGGGTAAAGTGTAATATTTGGGGGGCTGCTCATTACAAGGCCTGTTATTATCTTTCCCGTATTTATGTTCGTGACGCGGGAGAGATGATAAATCGGGGATTTCGTGCCGTGCAGTGGAGCAGTGCCCTGAGAGCCCCCGTCCTCTTCGTCAATAACAGCCCGGATCAACTCTAATGCTCCAGTCAAACTGCCAAATAAAGTGAAGCATTTCTGCACGAAACCATGGTGTTTCTAAATGTTGCGGTGTGTGTGCAGGACGCGGGTGACCTTTGGCACAGTGACCTCGGCTGCCCCGTCAGGCGCTGTGCTGGGTTGCCTGTCCCGTCTCCTGCAGGACACGCACCTGCAGCGCTGCCGTGAGACCGTACCCCCTTGTCAGGACTCCAGGTCTACTCCTGCTGTAACCCTCGGGAGCACTGTTCTTCGCTAACAATATCGGTGACCTAACTGGGCTCCTGCGCTTGTAAAGAACCCGGTACCACTGCTGGCTACCGCAGCGTCAAGACAGCTACTTATAACCCGGCTCTTACACGAGCTCGGCTTGTAATGACTGAAGCGTCACGGGAAAGAGTTCAGCTGCAAACGGAGTTTATTTCTGACCTTTCCGAGCGCACAGCAAAGCCGCCATCTTCACCCAAGACCCCAGCGTTAACACAGCGCGGCGCGCCTGAAAATAAGTCCGACCTGAATCGGGCATTCGGAGGGCTGAGTTCCGTGTGGGATGGGATAGGGTGTTGCACCTAAATGCGGGCCGCTGAAATGGGACATCCTGAGCCCTGGGCCTGAGCGCGCAAGCGTGCATGCTGGCCAGCCAGCCGTGTCCCAGTGTGCACAGCAGGACCGCTGGGGGGGGGGCCCCCGGTTTTTAATTTTTTTTCCCAGGGTTGTTCCCGGGGCCCCCCAGTGAGCCCTTCTCTGTCCGCATCGGAGTGGACAAAGTGCAGAGAAGTTGCCATGGAGAAAAAAATATTCAAGCATTAGGAAAATTGAACCTTTTTACATTTTAAAACTCATACAGTTTTAAAGTTACATATATTTTATGTATAAACACAATTTAATGAGGCTACTTTAGATTAGTACTGTATGTGTTCTTAGTACGAAGTTTTGAACGCGTTATGTTCCTCATACTGTCATGTTTGTACTTGGACAGGCGATGCGAAATGTATTTAATAACACAAGGCTTCGATATGGCCAGGTTTTCCTTACTTCTCCCCGTTTGAGTCGAGCAGCTTAACATGAACACGGTGTCACTACTTTTGTGCAGGGACAGACGAGTGACTTTCGATTCATCAAACAGCGAGCGGAGAAGGAAAAATTCTTCTAAATTTGCCAACAAAAGTGCCAACATGCACTTAGCCACTGGAAAAGAAACATCAATAACAAGAATATCGAATATTGACCCTGAGCTGTGTGACCAGTGAGTGACCTTGAGGTGACAGAAGTGTCCCATTCCCCTGTTTATAACAGGGGTTTATATATAAACACTGCCCCTGGAATCCTCACACTGGCGCTGCATCACAGAGGAGCGGACTTGGAGGAAGGGTGCATTTGCACCGCAGGATGAAACAGAATCATTTGTACTGTATTATGGGGTCTTATGTGAGAATTTATATATTCTCTTAGTAGTTTTTTTTTAAATCTTTTCACATACCCCAGCTTGCTTTCCATGAGACACACAGAGAGTGAAGCTTGGGGTCAGAGCGCACGGAGCAGCTGGGGTCTCTCTCAGGGGCCCAACGGAGTAGGATTCCTCTGCCTGTGGGATTTGAACCAGCAACCTTCCAGCCACAGGCACAGATCCTGAGCCACAGAGCCACCGCTCCACCCTGTCTCAGCATATTCTGAGCCTGCTGCCGGGGAGGCCATGGTCTCACCCTCTCTGGCACTCAGGAAGTCTGCACAGCCCTCCCCTTGAGTCACGCCTTTTCTTATAGCAGCATTAGTTTCATACGGAGAACCAGGCTACAGTGTTTCCGAGTGCAGTCTGTGCCTGTGGCGCTTGGCAGGGTGCCCTCAGTGTAGGGTTCAGGGTTCACGGTCTCCTCTCCAGAGGGCTCAGCCCAGGGTCCTGTTTGAATTAAGTATTACAACCATTTGGTTTAAAATTGTTCATTTAAATGTAATTAAACTGAATCGGCCCACTGCACATTGTGTGCAGCTGTCATCCTCAAGGTTAAATTATTTTTGGCTTTATTGTGGAGTATTACTCCTCCCCGAGGTGAATAAATGTGGTTTTGAGCAGTCTGAGCAACAGCCCAATGTCACCAGCAGAAATCAGACCAGGCCATGCTGTGGAAGGATATGGATAGTTTATTAGCTGGGCTCTGTGTCAGAGAGGTACAGTGTTTCTGGCAGTTTCCCACAAAAACTGGGAGCTTCTTCCTACATTAATAAAGACAACATTTTTTGTCAGGGAGCCTCGCTGTTTCTCCCGGTCCGTTTGGAGAAACAGGCTGAAGTTGGAGAAGCTGGAGGAGGAGGAGTGCTTGAGCTCTCAGCCCTCAGAACACCTACTTGTGTTTTTATTACGTCCATCAAAACGTGGAATTCTACAAAAAATAAAAGCAAAATAAATGTTACACAGCTCTGCCCTAATACAAGAGTCACACCCGAGAAAAAAATGGAGCCTTCTAGTTTCCCCAAACACCTTTGCGTGTCTGTGAGGCCTTTCCTTCTGCATGAGGCCCTGTACTGGGTACTCCGGGGGTTTGTGCCTCCTCCTTTCTATGCCTGGTGTTGTATCCTAGTTTGATCCTCTGTCCAGGGAGGGGAAAGCAGGTCAACACGTGTGAACACCTCATCACTCTCCCTCGGGGAAACAGACACAGGGCTGCCGGGGGGATTAATGACGGTGGGGAAACTGCCCAGGCCCTGCAGTCCATTACCCTGCTAATGGGGTCACTGTCGCCGCAGCCTGCAGGCCCGTCCACAAACCCACACTGCGGCAAGACCAGCAGGACCCTGGGAGACAGCTGTGCTGGGGGGCAGGCACGCTCCAGAGCCCTTCAGAGCTTTACTGCGAGCCGGGCAGGCAGCTAACTGACACCTGCTGTAGAGCGAGTGCTGGAAACACATCCAGCTGGGTCTACTGGGTCTCCTGGG